CAATGCTGTCACCAGATAACTCCTGAATATGCTTGAGACTGTACGTAAGGCCAGAGGGACTGAAAAATGTGATGCTGGCTGGAATGCCCTGTAGGGAGAGAAAACAAGATCAGCCCCTTGCCATGAGGCCAAGGAGAATGTTCCCTCAGCCCTGTCACCGTCACCCCCTCAGCCACAGAAGCAGCCCCCAGGCAGCCCCGGCAGATTCACAGCAGGGGGCTCCTAGCTGATGCTGGCACTCTCGGCACCATCGAGGGCGAGGTCAGGCGAGCAGAGTGCCATCAGAGAGGCTGCGTGCTGCTCCTTCGCCTCTGCCAGCCCCCAGGTCCGTGTCTGCCTGGCCAGAGGACATGGGCACTGTGGACCCCACATGCGCAGCAGAGTGGACAGTGCCTCTAGCAGTGTGGCCAAAGTGGCACTGGTCAGGTCAGGCAGCAGCGAGTCCGGATCCCTGTCATCTCCATCCCTTCTGGCAACAGTGCAGACAGCGGACAGACCGGCCCACAGGGCCTTTCTGCTGTGGTTTGTGCCAACAGGACGTCCCTGGACCAGCAGGGCAGTCAGAAACCCATCCTGGGAGAGGAAGGGGGTGCGTCTTATAGAAGTGGAAAACTCCAATCAACTCCAACAAGCAGCTTCCACTCTTCTGCCTGAAGCCTCCAAAAGTCCCCGTGGCCTCCCAGATTCCATCCAGACTCCTCGGTGGGCACGACTGGCCTTCCCAGTGTGGGCGCAGCCTCCCTTCCCAGCCTCTGCCCCCACAGCTCCACAGATGCTGGAGCCCCTCTTTGCCTTGGGCGTACCATGTCTGGGATGCTCTACACAGGGCTTTGCATAAATTATCCCCTTTAATCCTTATAAAAACCTTACTAGATAGGTCTAGTCCCATCTCACAAATAGAGATGGAGTCACTTCCTCAGTCACTCAGCTGGGGACATTGGAACTATGCACAGAATCAGTGTCTGCAAGGCTTGTGCCCCTCACCCTTGCGCCTCCTCCACCAGGGTGCCCACCCTGAGCGCTCCCTAGAAACAGAACGCACCTGTTGGGAGTAGTAGCTGCTCAGGTTCCCCTGGATTCCTGGGTGTGGAATCTTCTGGTAGACAGTTATGCTTTCCATGGGAATCCCTGGACACAGGCAAAACCAGGAAACAGACTTTACTGCCCTGGGGACACAATGGGGTCTCTGCACCTTGGGTCACAGTTAGTGGGGAACCCCTAGCGCAGCACAGCCTTCCTGGAACAAGCTGCGGGGGGCTGAGAGGCAGGGACTGAGGGCAAGCAGTCTTGGCTGGCCCCTGCAGGAGCCACTCCAACACTACGGAGTGGCTCCTGCAGGGAGGAGGCTGAGACGGCAGGGGAAGTCAGGGACCTGGAACCACAGCCTTCCTTCACACTCATGGATGCCTTTTGTTCCCGTGTTTGTGTGGGGTGTCCACAAGGACCACCCCTAGCCACTCCACCATGGATGCTGTCTGTGTGGAATCCCACACTGAGGGCAAGGGGTGAGACAGGGCTTTGAGGGAGTTTTTCAAGCCCTGGGGCTGAAGGAGGCAGCCAAGAGCCTTCTGAGGCCCAGACACCTAGGTCTCCAGCAACCTGATGCCAGGAACTGAGGTCCAAGGGCAGCTCTTGGGAGAGGCTGTGAGTCAGGAAGGGGCATGTGGGCCTGAGTCAGGAGCCCCCAGCTCTGCCTCCACGCGGCCATGAGCTCCTGGATTAACTACTTGTCTCGATGAGCTCCAGGGCCCCATCTGTAAATGAATCGATTACGCTCTGGACTGGCTCACGTTCCTTCCTGCTCCCTTCAGGGACTCTGAACATTCCCAGGGTTTTCAGGGCTGGCAATAAGGGAGAAGGCACTGAAGTGACTAGCACAGACTTCAATCACACAGACATTTACTAGGGCAGCCCCTCAGCAATGAAACCTTAGGCTTATGAAAATGAAATGACGTAAGAAAGAAAATCTCGCAGAAGGAATCAAGACAATGTTAGCATAAAACAGCAACCTATCACTTCATACCCAAAAACCTAAAGAAAGAAACTGAAGTAGCAAACCTCTGATTTATCTAGGATTTCTTTAAAGATATTTGGGCCCAAGCTTTCTCTTTTGTTCTCTCCTGGCATTTTCTTGTTCCAGAAAGGCCAATGATCTTGCAGATCTTATTGTCTAATGTCCTCTGCCATTATTCCTGGTAGCATTCGGAAGACAGATGATAACGTGTGGGCAGAGGAGATACAATCTCGCTCCATTTTACTACAGGAGGGAAAAGTTACAAGGTGTAAGACCATCCCAGGTAACATTCTTCATGTAGATTGTTGGAGGTTCAAAACAAAGGGAGAGAATATAATAGTTGCAGTCCCATGAATTGCTTGCTTTTGGAGAGCCAGGGATCGTGCTACATAATCTCACAACAGCTCTGTGAGGTGGGCTCTATGGTTACAACTACTTCACAGACGAGGACACTGATGCACAGAGAGAGTGTGTGACTTGCCCTCGCTCACCCAGCTAATGAACAGCAGAGGGAGAATTCACATCTGTTTTTGTCTCACCCTAAAGTTTGTACTCCAAGCCGCTGATTACCCCTTGCTCCCAGACCAACTATGTGACAGGGGCAGGTGTACAGGTGACACCTCAGACACCAGAGTCAATGGAGCTGGAGTGCTCCAGGGGCATGGCCTGGTTCCTAGACAGTGAAGGCCCTGGGAGCCATGGGGGACGGAGCTGGAGCGAGGCCTGATGGCTGGGCTAGAGGACACTGCATGTCACCATATGATCAGCTCCGTCCTTAGACTCCTTGTACATGTGAACTTGCCTCCGGGCCGCCTCCAGACCACCACCTATCCTCTTGGTAAAGGCTCAGTGACACTCTGCGTGCTCCTAGCTGGAGCCTAGCAGGCTGAGGAGAGCAGATCTAAAGCAAGGAAAGCAGACTGCACCCCACACCTAACGTGAGGAGCACCCCGCCCTTCCCTAGCCTGGCTGATCCACCCAGGCCTGTTCTCCCTGTGGTCTCCGCAGGGCTGACCACTTCTATCACCACAAAGGCTCTCAGCAGACCCCCAAAGAGGAGAGAGGCAGCGCCCCATGAGTCAATGCATTCTAGTCACCTTTGTCTTTGAGCATGTTCGGCAGGATTTCTCCTTTGAGGGCTCCACAGGGAAACAGAAGAGGCAGTGCTGATGACTCTCCTGCGAATAAATAACCAGACTTTGTAAAAGCTTTGTAGAAACTCCAGGGGAGGTGCATGTGCACAGGGCCAAGGGGAGGAGCAACTCCAGGCCCCGCTCTGCTCCTCGGGTCTCAGTTCCAGAGACTGTAACAGGTAAGAACAATGGCTACCTCGCTGACCTTGTATACGAAGTTCATATGTGGACGAAGGTGCTGAGAACACGAAGATCCACACAGGCCAGGGCTGCTGTCCCCCGTGCTCCTTTAACTCCCTCTCATCCTGAAGCGGCTCCTGGGCAGCAGTCATTACTTAGAATGCAGGCTTTGCACCTTAACTAGTCAGTAAGTTAGAGGTCAGCCCTGGTGTTGGCACTGGGACAAACCTCTACCTCTGGAGGAACCCTGGATGGGAAGAGAGGTGGAAGAGGCAGGGAAACAGCAGCCAAGAGTGGCTCTGCAGCCATCTCCAACAAAGATAAGCTGCATGCCCACTCCTGTCCCAGCCAGGATGGCAGCACCAGGCCAAGTGCCCAAGGGGCTGATGGACCCTGTGGAGGGGCCCAGCCTGCTGAGAAGGGCCCCAGCCTACTGAGAAGGGCCCTGCCTCTCATCCCTGCTCCACAGCTCCACTCTGGGAAGACTTAGGGCATTTTCTGCTCTAAGCTCGCTGCATAATTGTGAAGACAGCATGTGATTTGAACACCAGTTTGAGACAACACCATCCAACAAAACTGATGGGTTGTCAGATGCCAGAATCCTCCCCAAATGTGAAAACAAAGCCTTTTAGTAGAACCAATCATTTTCCCCCCACATCTGCCCATCAAATGTAAGAAGTTCTAATGGGTGTTAGTCATGCACAAACATACATTTTTCTACACCTGTAAGATCTCTCTGAACACATCTTCTTTTGGTGATTGCCATCAGAGGAAGGAATAAACCAAGCTCTTCCCATCAGGTACCTTCTCCATGATGCCCGGCTAAACCACAGGAAGAACCACAGGCTTCTTTATTTCAAGCTATTAAATAACTACAAATTGATAAATGTTTTCTTTATTTAAACTGTTCTGTAAATATCAGTATGTACTGACATATAAAAGAACACAAGGAATTAGGAAATTTTTAAATATAGATAATAGGGGCCAGCCCCATGGCTTAGTGGTTAAGTGCGCACGCTCCGCTGCTGGCAGCCCGGGTTCGGATCCCGGGCGCACACCAACGTGCTGCTTGCCAGGCCATGCTGTGGCGGCATCCCATATAAAGTGGAGGAAGATGGGCACGGAAGGGTTAGCTCAGGGCCAGTCTTCCTCAGCAAAAAGAGGAGGACTGGCATGCATGTTAGCTCAGGGCTGACCTTCCTCACAAAAATAAATAAATAAATAAATATAGATAATAGATGCCCACTGACTTTTCCAGTGTGAGGAAATGTTTCCATGCATTGTTGATGCCATCCCTAGAGACACATTTTCAAAGCCATGTTCAGGTGCTATTTCCTTAATCAGAGCCCAGGCGTCCCTTCAATGTCTGTGCATTGGTGTTGGGAGGTGGGGTGTGCAGGATTCTAGGGGCCAAAGCTGCTCCAACAGACCCTTCTCAGCCCCCTGCTCTGGGGCAGCTGTGGGAATCCAGCAGGAAAACCAAGGGCCTATCTTTCCAGCAAGCCCAACCCCAGAGGTGTGCAAAAGGCCTTCGGAAGATTCCAGAATCTGCCCATCAAAGCATCTCTTCTGCAGGTCCAGCAGAGTATTGAGCTGCTCATTCTTATTCTCTCATTGCTGACCACTACTCCAGAGATGGGGAGCTTAGCATCTGCATCCTGGCACAGCACAGGCACTTGTCTCTTTCTCACTGCACCACCAGTGCCCATCAGAGAGCCTGGCCACCCAGGCGCAACCAGCTCAGCTGCCTTCGTGGAAAAGTGCTGCCCGTCAGCACAAGGGGAGAAAACCTGACAACGTTCTGGTTGAATCCTCTTTCACTGCCAAGGGGAGATCAGCCTCAACTGCATTTCCTGGGGGCTAACCCCCTGTAAGAAGTCAAGGGCAAGTAATCCATTCTTTTTGGGATAAGCTTACTGCCCACAGATTTTTAACCCAAATAGGCCAATGCTAAATAGGTCAATGTTAAAGCTGGGTGATTCTGCAGAGGTGAGAGACAAGGTCTCTCCGGGACAAGAGGGAGAACAACGAGCCTCGCAGGAATCTAACCCGACACAAAAATGGTGAACAACGGGGCTCAGAGGCTCCACTCTCCAGTCCTTTAGCAGGAAGGAGGCCTGGTCTGCTGGGCTGTCGGGGCTGAAGGCAGCAACGGTCTTGAAAACCCTAGGAGAGTGTCATGCAGCTGGGGTGGGGGGGCTCCATAAGTAGTCACTGTAGGTAACTAAGATAACGAGACTGATTTCGTAAATGTCATTTCACTGGAGGACATGTGCGTGTCTGTAAAACTCCAGCAACTTCCAGGTCTGTAATGATTTCACCCTCGCAGGTGCTGCTGTGCGAGTCCAGGCTGGGCAGGCAGTGGGCACTTAACTGTGGATAATTAGGATAAGAGGCTGATTGGGAGGGAGGGAAGAAGAGCTGAGCAAGTCTTCAAGGCTGCAGGAACTTTTCTTTTCTCAGCTCCAAGTCCAGGAGGACATTTCAAATAAACTGCAGCACAGTCTGTCTGCCTTTGACTCCCTCTCTCTTTCTAAATGTTATAATTGTCTTCTACCTTTTACCATTTAACTTATACTTTCTCCTCCATTAGAGGGGATATCCTGGGAGGAAGGAGACTTGTCTGTCAAAATGAAGTGTATCCGATTAAATGAGTTAATAGCGTTAAGCATTTACAATAGTGCCTATCACAAAGTAAGTGCGTAAGTAAAATAAGCAATAACTGTGACTCGGTCTGTTTACTCCAAGCACTGGGAGTAGATTCTTAGCTTTTAAAATCAAGCTTCAGAGTTTACTGGGGGAGAAAATCATTAATGCCTTGGTAAAACCAAGGTGAAAGTCCTTATTAGCAGTCAAGATGGATTCTTATTTGGATATTCTAATTGAGAACTGAAGATTTATTAGGACCCACAGACATGGGGAATAAATTAGAGGAAGTAATAAAGGCTTTGCAAAGAACGCAGAACAGTATCCTCCGTCCAAGATAAGGGCAGAATATGTTCATATCCACCCTCCAAGCCCTGAGTCAGTTAACTGTGGTATCTCAGTGTGATATCTCAGAAGCGACACGGATCCTTCCTGCCTTGTGTCTGCAAAGTGAGGAAGACCAGCTTGATGGCTCTGGACCTTAGAATAAGGAATGACTCAGTTCCCTTCCATCTCCTTCCAGAACTAATGCATCAACTGTGAGTACAGCCAACACATCTGCCGTGGAAACAGGCTGGAGCCACCTCTTCCGTTAAGGAGCTAATTGTCCCACCCACAGAACCAATAATCATTCCTTATAAACCCTGGCACTTAATCCCACAAGAAATGCTAAGATTTACAATTTACATTGATTTCTACATTAAAAAAGAAGGGCTTTGATACCGTTTAATGGTGACCATTATCCCCTGAAATGACATTAGAAACAAAGAGCCTGGAGTCAGGTCATTCTGGAACATTCTCAACATCTGCATCCCATACAGTGAACAGCTGGAGGAGGGGCCCAATCATACTGATGCTCCTCTCCCCCAGGAGAGGTGAGGCTCCATGACGCAAGAAACAATCCCCTGGGGCTGGAGCCACATGATGAGGAGCCTAGGACAGTGCTCACCACTGGACAGCCAGCACAACTGCCCTTGGCTTCTCAGCAGCTGTGTTTCAACACCTGGCTGCACAATAGTGAGCAACTGGCATGTCTGTGCTGACGTTAAAGAAAATGGCTCCTCAGCCACCCACAGTCTGGATTATTCCACAGGAAGCACAATGCAGCCATTGGGGGCCCTCTGCTTAAGAAGCTACACAGCTGTTCAGCCTCAAATACTCTTAGTCTGCCTCCAAGAGTCCTTCTTGGAATCCAGAAAACTCTCCCAGGGTGCCAAGTAAATCCACTCCTCATACAGCACAGGTGGCCACAGAAGAAAGGGGGCCAACAGTCTTCATTAGCAGGAAATTATCCACATGGCGAACACTTTTTACCCCAAATTACAGTCTCTTGAACCATGTGTTTTTAACTTGAAAAGCTCCAACAGTTCTGGCTTATAAAACTTCCAGCAGTGGTGACCTTTCCCTAAGCCCAGCCCAGTTACAGAGATGGGGTGGAGACTGTTCAGCCTCCCGACAGTGTGGGCTAGATCTGTCTGAAGCCCGGTGTGCACCTGAGATGAGCTCCAAGGTCAGCAGGGCGCGGGCAGGGGCTGGCAGCAGCTGTCCTAATGGGCCTTCCCCACAGCCCTGTGTGTCACCAAGAACGCAGCCAAACCCCAACTCGGCCATGGTGATTCACCAGCACCAAGCGCACGTCCAAACCACAAACGAGTGGGATGAGATCTTAGAACCCGCTTTCTTCACTTCAAAAGGTTCCCGTGACTTTTCCACCTGATGGAAAACAACTGAGCATATTTTGGACTAGAAGCACACAGAAAAGGGACACGGGACGAGCTTGGGAGCCCGCCAGTCCTGGAATGGAGACCCAGCCCGGCACCGATTAGCTCAGTTACTTTGGACAAGTCACTCCCTTTCCATCAGTAAAAGTGAGTCTAATAATCACCCCTGTCGTGGGCTCAGCACAGCCATGTATCAGACAATCCGAGACAACACACACAGAACTCCAGCGTAAGCCGGGCCCTCCACCTCCTCGCAACACTCAACAGACGTAGTTCCCACTGCTCTTTCTGCTGTCCTGGCAGAGCCCCCAGGACCAGTGTGGAGGCTGCCAGGCCGGAGAGCTGTGGAGCAGGGCAGCTGTGGGGAAGGCGGCTCCCCTTCCCCTCTGATCAGATCCACCACAGCACCCAGCCCTGCTCTTCCCTTTATTCAGTCTGGTGATGGCTCTTTAAGTTTTAAAAAACGCTCTTCTTAAGGGATTTCTGAGACCCTCTCACTTAAGACACTTAAGGGATGTGTTTCTGAGACACTCCCACAAAGTCACAAGGACAATGGAAGTGAGCCCTCACCCAGTGACTCCCCTTGGGCCCAACCCTGGTGGCAGCTGGAGCGGAGGAAAGGGAGCACACAGCGCACACAGCGCTGTGCTGCTGTCCCAGGGCAGGCCCCTGGGGGCTTCCTGCCTCAGGTCTGGAAGCAACCACTCCCTCCTGAGCTGCGGTGTTTTGGGGGCTCTTAGACGTGACAGTCGTCGGCAGGCCCACAACTCTAGTGGCCACTTCCATGGCTCTCCAGCTGGTCACCTACTGTTCCCACCAAGCTCCCCATCTTCCAGCCTCCCGGAAGACCCTCTCCTTGCACTGTCTCTGCTCTGAGGCTCCTGGACTGGGATGGCTTGGCCATCAGTAGGTGGAGGTCTTGGCCTTCCTGTAGGCTCCCCTTATACACAGCCCCTCTCTGACGGGGATGCTGTGGGTTGTGTCCTCTTTACATACACTTTCCTGAAGACCTGGGCCTTCTTTTGGACACCCCTCCAGACACATGCTGTTTATACCTCTTCTTGTTGCTTAATCCACTCTGCCTTGTGAGGGTCACTGATATCTATGTTGCCCCCTCTCGTCAGCCCCTGCTCCCCCCTCCCCCACCCCTGCAAAGGGCCTGGCGCACAGGTGTTCCTAGGCAAATGTTTGCTGCACCCTGTTGAACCGTCCCAGTGTGACGTGGGAGGGAGTGTGGGGGTGGGGCAGGAGAGGCATCAATCAGTGCCCACAGGCCTGTCCCAGCTGATGAAGGGGCATCTGCTGAGCTCCGGAGAGCGCAGACTCGGGACTTCCAAATGGCCAAACCACTCCGTGGCTGGAGCTTATCCTTGGGAGGAGTGATCAGAAAAGGCCCCCAGCTCCCCAGGGAACCCCTGGAGGGCCCCCGAGGCTCTGCTCGCACCAGAGCCAGGCACATTTACCCCATCTGCCCTGAACTGTGCCCTGACCTCTCATCCTGTCACTCTAAGTCGCAGTGGATGGAGGTGTGGGGCCGGCAGCATCTTGAGGGAGAGAGCAGAGCTCAATGCAGAGCAGGACGACGGGAGCAGGGTGCCAGCAAGTGCTGGGTTGGATCTGCTGAGTGTGCCGGGCCCGGGGAGAGTGCTGGCCATGTAGTGCCAGGTCCGCACTCCAACCCTGCCCCTAATAGCTCTGTGACCAGGGACAGTCACCTGGTCCCCAGAGCCTCCATAACAGCAGTGTGGAAAAGAACTCTGGGCGATGATGGGAATGTCCTGGGCTGTCCCTGTGGTGCCATGAGCCACCAGTGACGACTGAGCTGTGGCCTGTGCCCAGTGACTGGGGAACTGAAGTTTTCATTGTATTTCATTTTGATTAATTTAATTTAAGCAGCCATATATGTGGCTAGTGGCTACCATACTGGACACACAGCTTACAGTGGAGGTGATTCTGCCTCCATGGGATGGTGGTGAAGATAAAATGATGTAGGCAGAGTGCCATGGGACACACTGAGCACTCAATAAATGCTAGTTTTCAATATTAACACAGAGCATAAAGTGACTCAGAAAAGATAAAATGAAATATTTTTTAAAGAAAATTGAGAAAAAAAGCAATTGGGAGCTTGGCAAGGGTCCGCTGAGACCCAGCAGTGCTTCTGCTGTCCCAACTGCACGCCGCCCCTCCGCGGCAGACCACTCCATCCAGGGCCTAACTGAGCTCCAGGGCCCTAGTCCACAGTGCAGTGAAAGACATGGGAGTTTTTCCAGGACAGGCTCCCCGTGGTCAACAGAAACATACGAGCTGGAGAACATTCAGGCAACGGTATTTGCTCGTGACAGGAAGACTTCCTAAGACTTTAGTGTGCAAATGTGCAGACTGAGAAAGGCCAACACCAACTTGAGAAGGAATGTTTTTTTAAAACATCGTGCCTAAAACAAAACCATCCACCACTGTCCCAGAAGCCATAAAAAGACCTATTTAAGGTGTTTTCTCCTTGCCTCCTTGAGTGCAGACCTGACACCACTACCTAAGGGGCAGGGAAGACACACCTCTTCAGGGACAACCTCAGAGGAAAAGCTCAAGCATCAGCAGTGCCCCTGGCCCTACCTCCAAGCTCCGCAGACAGCCCAGCCATTCCAGACAGGGTCAGCAAACCACAGCCCCGGGTCAGAGCCCAGCCCGTGTCACGTATGGTCTATGGCTGCTCTCAGACTACGACAGGCAGAAGTTAGTCATTCTGACAGAGACCATATGGCCCGCAGAGCCTACATATCTGGTCCTTAACAGACAACGTTTGTCAGCCCCTAATCTTGAGGAGCAAAGCCCTGATTTCTTCTCCAGTAATATAAGGCAAGATGATGCTACTTCATCTTTCACGTGGGTGTATGTCACACCTCTATCAGAGAGGGGTCAAAATGACAAGGGCATGAGAGCATGTGTATGCAGTTGGATTAGACGTGTGGGACAGAGAAAGGATGGGAAATACAGCCCCAGTGTATTTTGGGGACTGCCCCACATGTACACATTTAGCCTTCCCATCCCTCTTGTCTCCAAGAGCTCTGCTCCCAAAATCTTTGCTCATGTGTTTGTCTAAAGACTACAATGGCAAAATTAGGTTAAGGCTTAATCCCCACTTAACTGCCAACATCCCCAGAATCAGTGCCATTTTAAGTCCCAGTCCATATGCTGCCCAATGATGAGCATATGAGGGGGTGAGTCAGGTCCTTACCTGGGAGCAAGTTTTGGGGGTGGGAATTCAGAAACGGAAGCAGCTCCAAAGAGGACAGAAGGAGACAGAAGGGAAGGTGCCCAGCAGCTCCCACTGCCTCCACTCCCTTTAGAATCACTGTAGATGGTCTCGCTTCTGGGTTTATCTCCAAATGTTTTATTTTATGGTATGTTTGAGCTGTGTCAAGTCCTTTGGTGTAGGGGTGGAGGCAGGAGGGCTGAATCTCAAACAAGCACAGACATACACAAATGCACAAATGCACTCCTGTGGTCCCAGGAGTGGCTCACACACTGCACATCAACCAGTGTCATCATGGACAATGCACCCCGGAAATATTCCCTTATCTAAGTAGTGGTTCTGAGACCAAAAAACAAAAAGTAAATTTGGGGTGACCAACTTACTGGAACAAATATATTCTGCAAGCTTTTCTGCATTTCCACAGTTTTCTCCTTCTGTATCCAGGCCAATTTTATTCACTGGAAAACAACAAAGAAATATATTTCTTTAGATGGTTATTAAAGTCCTTCTGTTTTTGTGTTGCTTTTTAATGTGCAAATACAAAGGCACGTGCTTTACAAATCACACAGAGAAAGCCTCCCCTTGAAGGCCGGGGTAGGAGGGCCGCAGGCATCATGGCTTTGGTAATGCGCCAATTTCTCTGAGCCCCATTGAGCTCATCTACAAGAGGGGAAGACTCCAACCATAGGGGACTGTTTTAAGGATTATACGAGATGATGAGAAAACTGTTGGCCATCTAAGAGGAGCTCAAGAAAGGTGGCTTTCAGGCTGGCCCGGTGGCGTAGCAGTTAAGTGCGTGTGCTCTGCTGTAGCAGCTCGGGGTTCGGATCCCGGGCACGCACCAACGCACTGCTTGTCAAGCCATGCTGTGGCGGCGTCCCATATAAAGTAGATGAAGATGGGCATGGATGTTTGCCCAGGGCCAATCTTCCTCAGCAAAAAAAGAGGAGGACTAGTGACAGGTATTAGCTCAGAGCCGATCTTCCTCACCAAAAAACAAAAAAAACCTGACAATCAGTAAAAAAAAAGAACAAAGGTGGCTTTCTTATCAGCCAGTCAGGAGACAGTGAGCACTGCACACCATCACAGGGCATTAGAGAGCCGTCATTTTGTCAGGGAGGTGAGGCCGGCCCCCCTCTAGAGAGGTGTCTTGGGTTGACATGGCAGACTGAAATGGAAGGGAGGGGAGGAGAGGTTTCGTAATAATCTGTCAACAGGGACCCAACAGCACCCCAGATACAGGTCATTTAGGGTGAGGGGCTGACTAGCTGCTTTTGAGAGACTCCTATTCAAGAACTAAGCAAGAAGCAGACACCCAGGTTCCCCTGCACTTTTCCGGATGGGGAACACGGGTCACTCTGCAGAGGACGCTGATGCAGGAAGGCCCCAGGGGCCGGCCCAGTCACACTCACTACCTGTTCACAGGAATGTGGAACTTCTCTGAGAAACAAGGTGCTGTGGGCATTCTACTTCCGATTCACATGAGACTGCCTAATAACCAACTGCAGCTTTAACGTAAACAACATCAGCTTTTAATTTACAGCTCATTACGAACGTGCTGAGTCCAAGAGAAAAAAGTCACATGCAGCTGTAAACTGTGTTCAGGAACAAAGCCCTTGCTTATGCCACATTGCCAACCCAGGCTGAGCCGCCCCTCCTCTGACTAAATGAGGAAGGTCTCACTGCACCAAAGAACCCTGAAACCTTCCCAGGAACTGAACTGCGACATAAGTACTTGCAGTGATGCTGGTACTTAATATCGACATTTATACCCATTTTTCCTAAGTAACTGGACAGCAGGAACCATGCCTAGACTCTCACACACGGCTTTGCTGTTGGAAAGGGACCACTTGCTCATTCGATCCTTAACCAACCCTGTGAGCTAGACGATGTGGGGACTGCAAGTGTGCTTCGGAGCAGGGGAAGCCGCGGCTCTGGGCTGTCGAGTGCCTGCCAGCTCTGTCTGCAAGGGCAGTGCTGCCTGGTCCACCGTGCAGCTCACAGAAGGCTCTCAGCAAAGGTTTGGGGAATGAACGTTTGCAGTAAGGTCTCAGCCTCTGTGGGCGGCAAGGATGGCTTTGCTCTAAGTTGGTACAAGCATTTCAACCAACACTCAGGCCCAGGCAGGCCCATCTTCAGGGCAAGGGCCTCCTCCATGGGAGGGCCAACAATGCAACTTCAGATTATTCATAACCATATGAAATAAATCAAGCTACTCACAGACAAACCGCCATAGAGTATTCTTTATGTTTGAAAGGTTAAGACAAAGACTGCCACAACGGATCCAATTTTCTGGGCTTGTGTAAACCTGTGGGGTGAAATCCTCTGCTGGCAGAAGCCTATGCTGAAAAGGTAGCATTTGGTAATCTGAAGGTAAAATAAAATCCTTAGTGCAAAAACATATCAGTGAGAATCAAGAGACGGGATTTGAAGACATTAATTAACAAGGTTATGGATAAGATGATCTCTGTATTTTCCCAGAGTTAATGTGAAAACAAGGCAATGAAAAACATTAAAAAAAAAATCGATATAGTTTAAAAGCGCTAAAACACCTGCAGGCTTATATCAGTGGGGCACGGTGGCTTTGGAAAAAGACAGTCATGGATGTAAACAATGGCTGTACCACTTCCTAAGTGTGCGATCCTGGCGAATCACATCCTCTCTCTTAGACTCTGTTTTTTAAATCAGGAAAATGGGCTTACTAAAACCTTCCTTATGAAAATGAGAAATCATACATAAAGTGCATAGCACAGTGCCTGGTATATAACAGGGACTCAAAAATAGTAGCCGTACTGAGTCATACCAATAGTTGTAGATGGTCATCTGTTCCAACAGTACAAATACATACCACATAATGAAGTTATCCTATAAAGGGTCTTCCTGAATTCTGAGTTGTTAACCACTAAGCTATTCCCATGGAGCAACTGGTCTGGGTTTACAACGCCAAGCAACAGGGGCCACTTAACAGCTCCCAGGACCAGCCCTGTGATCAGATGGGGGCGGTAGGGCCCTCCACATTTGGGCAGCCAGAGAGGAGGCTTTCCCCCAGGGTGGGTGGCTGGGCTGCAGGAGACCAGCCCACAGCAACCAGCTCTACTTCTTCAGTGCAAATGGAGATCTCATGTAAACAAGCACAGATTATCCAACCAGAGTAATGCTCTCAGGAGAGTTTATGCAGACCAAGAACAAAGTTACACAAACGTGTACTTTTCTCCATCTATTAGTAATCAATAATATTTACAAAATTATAAGTCAAGTCACATTGATGAAGAAGCACAAACATCTTTTCTCACTGGACTTCCACATCGAGACCACTTGCTGTCCACTGGACCCTGTTTTTACTTCTACTTTGAGAAACATGTCTACCTTTTCTTCTCCTTGTTGAAAATGTTCAACTCTCCTGACCTGGTCGGTCCACAGTCTCTGGGGAGCCGGGGAGGCTCTCCTGCTCAATTTGACCAGAGGGCTCCTGGGAGCTATAAAATCGCCCCCAGGGATCCCTGGTACTCACACCCCTGCATCATCCCCTCCCCTTGAGTGTGGGTTGGACTTACTGACTCAATTCAAACAAAAAGATGGGATGTCACTTCCAAGATTAGATCATAAAAAGACTGTGGCTTCTGTCTTGGGTGCTCTCTCTTGGATTGTCTCACAATAGGGGAAGCCAGCTGCCATGTCATGAGATAGCCTTTTAGAGAGGCCCACGTGTGTGATCTTGGAAGCACACCCTCCCCTAGTCAAGCCTTGAGATATCTGCAGCCCTGGCCAACAGCTTGATTGCAGCTTGGTGAAAGACCCTGAGCCAGAAGGATCCAACTAGGCCATTCCCAGATTTCCGACCCAAAGAAACTGTGAGATATTAAATGCTTGTTGTTTCTAGCTTTTAAGTTTTGGAGTAATTTGTTACGTGGCAAAAGGTGACTAATACACCAGGCATGGTCTCCTCTAGCTGTCAATGTGCAACTTCCTCTAACTTCCCAGGCGCTTGCTGAGACTTAGGATGAACAGAAATCTTGGGGAGTTCAAGCAATGCCTCTTCCCTGTACCTGCTACGGAGAGCTCCTTTTGTATGTCATGTCTGGAAAGGTGAACTAAAATAGAATGTCCAAAAGTTGGGTGACTGACTTTCATGTTAAGATAGGATGTGGTTTCTCCCAAAGAGATTTTTTTAAAACTGCAAAATCCCTAGTTTCATCTCTCCTTTGATAACGTGTCTCCAGCATTTAGAACACGTCCTTTCCCTTAACAACTGAATAAACAGGGAGCAGCTTGAGGCCAACGAGCACGATCGAGACCAAAGCTTTGCCGCCTGTGCCACACTTGATGATGGCCTGCTCTCAGCTGCTGTTTCAGATTTCTCATCACTGTATCGCCATTTTCTTTTCTCTAATTTCCTTCTTGACAGAACAGTGAGAGTAAAATGCATAGTGATGCTAGTGAAATCAAATTGAAGATCACGTGAAAGCTCAAAATGTTTATCAGCTACGCGTGTGGAACTGTGAATCTGGAGTACAAAATCAAAATAGGAAAATTTACAAATACATTATATTTGATAGCTGAATATTTGGTATATGTCAGAAATTGCCTATATTATTTTCTTTCCTCTTCTAACTCAGGAAGAAAATAGTAAAAGAAAGTACAAGAAAATTCTTAACTTATTTTTTGGGGAGATGTAAGAGAGAGTAGAGGTGGTTCCCTTGGCAACCAAAGCTGACTCCCTCTTCCCAGCTCATCTGCTGCGCCTGGTGGTAAAAGTCACGCTGCACGGAAGAGCTACCAGCAGCTCTTCATTAGCCTAGCAACTCCCATTTGGTCTCTCCCCAACTTCATTTTTTGTCTGGAAAATGTGCTTTTAATTCTTAAACTGTTTTTGCTCACACTGTACCTTCCTCCAACATTTTAAAATTCATTTGGACAAAGTGAACTATTTGGAAACAAAGTTATAGGTTCTTACAATTGCTAAGCATTAAGTATTTAAAATTTTTAATATTAATTTTTAATGATTCACTCTTTATATTTTGTGTTTTAAAAAAATGTATAAATTCACGACTATGTGGAAAATATTAATAAAATTATAAAAACCAACTATAATACCACCACCTGGAGATAACTATCTTTAATATTTAGTGATTTTCCTTTGAGGTTTTTTTTATTGCAGTAAAATATACACCATAACATTTATCATTTTAACTATTTTTTAAGTATATAATTCAGTGGCATTAAGTACAATCAGTGATATACAACCATCACCACTATCCATTTCCAGAACTTTTTCATCATCCCAAACAGAAACTCTATACCCAATTAAACATTAACTTCCCCTTTCCCCCTCCACCAGCCCCTGGAAACTTCTATTGTACCTTCTGTCTCTGAATTTGATTACTCCAAGTGCCTCATATAAATGGAATGTTATACAGTATTTGTCATTTTCTGTCTGGCTCATTTCACTTAGCATAATGTCTTCAAGGTTCATCCATGTTGCAGCATGTGTCAGAATTTCCTTCCTTTTATGTCTGAATAATATTCCATTGTATGGATAGACCACATCTTGTTTATCCTTTCATCTCTTGATGGACATTTGGTTGTTTCCACCTCTTGCCTGTTGTGACTGATGCTGCTGTGAACACTACCTACTCAAATACTTATCTGTTTGAGTCCCTGCTCCTTTTAGGCTTTTTTAGGGAGGAGGGGGAAGGAGGGCTCTCTATTTCAATACCTATACTTTTCAATTAAACTGAAATTGTATCATATCTGTGTTGTATCCTGCTTTTTACTTAATGTTACACTGTATTTTCCTATGCCCTAAATATTCTTCAAAATCATTTTTAAAGACCACATAGCCTCTCCCCTTCCCCTTCTCTTTTTGAACAATTCAGTCCTAAGGCCATTAGGTGGTGCAGAATAAAATGAGCGTTGGGTGTCAGAGACCACACAGGGCGAGGAGGGCATCCATGCAGGAGCAGAGCCAGGGGAGACTGGTTCCATACAGGGGCATGGATCAAATAGGTAAATGTATCACCTGGGAGCCAGGTTTCTCACTGCCAGAGAAGGGAGTTACAAATATAGAAATGAAAGACCCAATGTCACCTCAAGAAAAAATTAATTAAATGAAAAAAAGAAACGAAAGACCTAGAACAAACCCTGTGGTGTTGCACTGGAGTTGGAAGTGGTGGAGTGAACTCATGGTTTTTAATATAAACAGACATATATAAGCATAGATAAGCATATATAAGCATATATAAGCATAAGTGTGTGTGTGTAACATTAGGTATTCCCTATCTCGGTCTATTGAAAAGGCCTGGGAGCAGTGAAGCCCACGGGCAATGAATACACTGAACACCCACATCGTGGCTTCTAAATACCACTCTCCACTGAAAGGAACCAGGGCTTCTGAGAAAATGGCTGATGTCAGGGATGGGACAGGGAAAGTATAAAACAATCCTGGAACATCTTTTTGTGCCAGAAAAGAAGGAAGTGCTGAAAGAATGATGGGGACATGTCAAAGGGACACAGAAGTCACTTTGAAGGGGTTGCCACTGGCCACAATGGGGACAATTTGAACAACAAAATACATAGACTTAGTAATGGATTATACCCTATTAAATGACACAGGAAACCAGGAATGTATACTGATATAAATAAATAACTGAATAAATTGAAGGTGTGATGAAGAATAGGTTATTATATAGTCTCAAAGTACCTCCCCACAAAATACTTATTAATTTTGAAGAGAAAAACCGTAACTGCACTGTGGACAAGCCTGACACCACCACCTACATCAAGGGACCACAGGGAGAACCACCAGTGATAGGGCAAATCAAAATGAGGCACTACTAGATAAGGGGCAATGAGAAAAACAGCATCGCTTTTGTGATAGTCCTGCCAGGGATGTATAACCTGAATGAATCTAATCATGAGGAAAAATCAAACAAACCCAAACTGGAGGACCTTCTACAAATAACTGGCCTGTACTCTTCAAAAGTATCAAGATCACGAAAGCCAAAGACAGACTGAGGCACTGTTTCAACCTGCAGGAAACTAACTCGACACAACAACTAGATGCTAGGCGTGATTCTGAACTTGATCATTTTGCTATAATAGACGTTACTAGAACAACTGGTGAAATTTGAATGGGGCCTAAGAATTAAGAGGTAGTAATATATGCATGTTAATTTCCTGATTTTGATAGTTGTGGTACATAGAAAAATGTCCTTGTTTGTGAGGAATATACACCCAACTATTTGGAGGTGATGCGGCATCACGTTGGTAACTTACTCTCAAGTGGTTCAGGAAAAATTAAGTTCCTTATAATGAACTTGTAACTTTTCTGTAAGTTTCCTTCAAAATAAAAAATATATATATAAAAGAAAATATATAATCATCATATAAATGTATCGTGACTTATTTTACTCTTCCCCTATTACTGGTGATAGAATAAATGAAAAGCAATAAGGAAAGTTAATATATTGAGGTATATGAGGAAGCCATTTTGGTTTAAAACTGACTGTTTTTCCCGAATGGCCTGACGTGGCCTGTCAAGCCTGCACTGTACATCTGCTTTAAACATTTACAGTATCCCAAAGCAAAGAGTGCTGGCTTTGAAGATAGGGATGAATGCCTCCCTCCCATATCAGCATTTCTTTGAAGATAAGCATTCCTTCCCAGAAACCAGGGTCAGATTGACCTGCTGTGTATGCAGCAAAACATCATGTGACTGTAGTAAAAGAGAAAAAGAAGTATTCCTGCCATGTTTGATGTATGTTCCAAAGTGGTGTATAACCACGCCGTACCCCTCCTTTCTCCATGTGCTTTCTCCCCTGGTGGAGGTGGCGCTCCCAGGCCATAGTCCTCAGACCGGCTCACATAAGAAACTCATCCCAATTTTAATCTATAGATTGATTATTATTTTTTGTGTGTGTGTGAGGAAGATCAGCCCTGAGCTAACATCTATTGCGAATCCTCCTCCTTTTTTTCCCTCTTTCTCCCCAAAGCCCTAGTAGATAGTTGTATGTCATAGTTACACATCCTTGTAGTTGCTGTATGTGGGACGCCGCCTCAGCATGGCCAGACAAGCGGTGGGTCGATGCATGCCCCGGATCCCAACCTGGGCCACCAGTAGCGGAGCGCGCACACGTAACCGCTACGCCATGGGGCCGGCCCCTGATTTCTGGTTACTTGTGTCAACACTGGACATTTGGGGGCTTTCATTTTTTCACGATTATAAATAATGTTATGATATACATTATCACATAAAAACCACTTCATTTCTCCTATTTTGCATTATTAACTTTGGATAGATTATCAGAAAAGGGATTAGTGGGCCAAAGGGCACAAACATTTTAATAGAGCATTTGAATATATACCACTAAGTATTTCTCAAAAGACGTGAATCAATTTTTAATGCCATTTAGCAATATTTGAATATATTTGTTTCACTGCACCCTTATCAGCAGCATTATATATTTAACTAATTACTTTTGTAAATTTAATAAGCAAAAAGTCATATTTTAAAATGAACTGAAGTGTTTTAAAAAACAATGAACAAGGCTAAGTCACTGCGGCATGAAAAGCTCCTATTTTTCTTCTGTCCTGTACTCTCTACTACCACCACACTCACTGCTGTACTCTGGTCACCAAATGTGTGGGTTTTCCACACCAAGCAATTCTCCAATTCTCAGCTGGGCATCCTACAATTTAACTCAATTCTGACACTATCCACCTGAAGATAGAAAGTCCAGGTTGTCACCTGTATTTCTGACCAACCAACCATAAATCAGAGGTTTTCAGAACCCCCTCCTCGGGTTAGATCATTTGCTAGAACTGCTCACAGGACTCAAGGAAAACGGTTTACTAATTATTGCCAATTTATTATAAAGGATATTTCAAAGGACATACATGAATAGCCAGATGGAAGAGATGCATAGGGCAAGGTACAGAATGGGAGGGACGTGGAGCTTCCATGCCCTCTCCAGGTGCGCCCTCTCCAGGTGCACCCTCTCTAGGTGCGCCACCTTCCCAGCACCTCTCCGCGTTACTGTCTGTTTGGATTTTTATGGAGGCTTCGTTACACAGGCATGACTGATTAAATCGTTGGTCGGTGGTGATTGATTCAGTTCCAGCCTCCCTCTTCTCCCTGGAGGTGAGCAGGGGGCACAGGAGGCTGAAAGTCCCTACTCTAATTACATGACTGGCTCCCCTGGCAACCAGCACTCAACATTAGGGGCTTTCCCAAAGTCACTTCACTAATATACACAAAGGAGGAGTTGAAAGAGGTTTGTTATGAATAACAAAAGACATCTTTATCTTTCTTATCACTTAGGAAATTCCAAGGGTTCCAGGAGCTCTGTGCCAGGCACAGGGACAAAGACCAAATATATATTTCCGATTATAAATCACAATATCGCAGTCATTTTTTGGTGTTTTATTTTTACCTTGATTGCTTACCTATAGAAGCAGTAGCATTTCCAACCACATACACCGACTTAGCATTCCATTGTTCTTTCAGAGACTTTTTCCAGACTGTAATACATGAAATTATATGTGAGTTGAAAATACCAAAGTGGCCATTTGAACTGCTGCCCAAGGCTGCTTGTTCATCCTAAGAAACTTGTGAGCAAGGCAAACTATTCGTAATCAAATATAAAGAACAGCATCTCAAACTAAAATTCCATTTTTATATTGCTTGTATTCTGCAGGCAAATTTTAAAAAATCACTTTGGTAAATGTTTCAGTATGCCTTGCTTAAAATATTAAGTCATTTCCACAGTTGGTACTAGAAGCATTTTTAATGCATACTAGGAAACAAACATAAGTCGAAGAATTTGCATGGTGATAGTAAAATAAAAAATCTAGACTTTTAAAGAAAAAGTCACTGGTCATTAAAAAGAGGCAACTTAAATGCCTAATAAAGAAATACAATTGGTTTCATTTGAAACATAAATCTGAAAGCAGTTAAGTCACTGTAATATCAGATAAGAGGGCTCATTTATCCATTGGGTCAAAGCAGAGATAATAAATTTCAGGTTCATAAAAAACACAATTTAATAGAGAACACTACCATATTATGACAAAAAGTAAACATCTTTAAATACAGACTAAAGAAATACAAAGAGAAAATGGAATGTATAAAGATATCATAAGGCCACTGGGTGTTCAATACCATTTTAGAAGGAAACACTAGTTCTTCCTTCTTAAAATCCGATTATGAGCATAACTTTCCCTTAAATTCAATAGTGTTAATCCACACTTTACACTCCTATGGGAAATACCCTTTTAAACAGTAATCAAAGATTAAGCTTCACCTTCTTTCCTACACCACAAATGTAAATAAAATTTATTTAAAAATTATCTGTATCATGTGAACAAACCACTCGCCAAGCCTCACAGCAGAGAACGGCTTGAACAAGCCCTGGACGAAATCAGAAAGCCGGGCTTCAGAGCCAGCTCTGCCCCTTAAGTTATGTATGTTCCTGGGCAAGTCAGCTAACCCACCTTGTCTGTTTCTCTATCAAGATAACTGGGACTAACTACACCTCGTCTGCCTATATCATAGAGTTGTTGAGAATCAAAATAAGAAAATATATGGGAAAATGGTTTTTAAGCTGTAAAATGCTATAAAAAGTTATGGGGTCCATTCTGGAGTTTTCTTCTTTTTCATAATCTTCACTCTCAAAACACATACAAAAGGAAAAATACAATTGTCAAACAAAAACTCCTGAAGCACCACTGGGAGAGAATACATATGCTTCTCCGTCTCGAGTTTTCTCTCTCCATTTTGGAAATAACAGGACTTCCGGTTCTGAGCTGCCATGCTGACTGGACAGCATGAGTCCTCCTCCCTAAGAAAAGCATTAGACCTTCTCTTCAACAGGAGGTAAATGTGTATATGAAGTAGTCGAGATTTTTTTGGCTCTAATGAAAGCCTAATTAATCGTAAAGAGAGAATAATAACCACTCACCACTGTCACTATTCAGTGCCCACCATGCACCAGACAATGTCCTGAGTGCTTCTCTTCGGGACCTAGACTCTAGATGGTATCATAAATCTGTGACTTACAGACTACGTGGTCTGGAGAGTTTCATACCCTCTGCTCTTCAGGATCCTGATTTGTCAAGTGGAAATACTAATTGTACAACCTCAGGGGTGAAGCACTGAGGACCATGTCTGGCACAGAGCAGGCCCTCAGTAACTTCTGGCTAGTAGCAGAAGTAATGATCCCATGAGGCAGGTATCATCGTGCCCACTCTACAAACGAGGAATTGAGGCTCAGCAAGGTCAAGGAACTTGCAAAGGTCAGAATGGCCACCTGAATGCAGGCCTAACTGGCTGCAAAGCCCTTCTGGTAACCACCTACACTGCTGCCTCCACTCGTTAGTATAACCAGAGCTGGTCAGGCCTGACTGACTTGTTCCATGGCCTTGGACAAGTGCTTACTCTTCCCAAGCCTGTAAAATGAAGATCACAGTACGTGTGGCTGGTTGTCTAGGATTAAACGAGATAAAGAATGTAAAGTTAACATAGATCCTGGTATACAGTAGGCACTCCATAAAAGTTAGCTACAAAGCTGTTCCACCGAGCAGACTAAGGTGGTTGTTCAGCCTGAAGCCTGGGCTTTGTTCATCTGTTTTGATGGAGAGGGAAGGAGGTAGGAGGAAGGGTCTAAGAGATGGTCATATCATTAAGTGCCGGGCAGGGACTGTTTTCTCATCTATTGTTGGATCTTCTCATCATCCCTTTGAGGAAAGAGACTGGCGTTGATCTACTCAGAGGGGAGATATGAACACCTGGCAGGAGAACATGTAGACGCCCCCCCAGTGACATCCATCTGGGAGTTTAGGAGGCAGCACTAGCTCCTGTTTCCCAAGGTGGTATCTGTGACATGGCACCCCTAAGCGCTCGCTCCGTCAGAAGGCTAACAGGTTAACACCTCATTCTGTGTGGGTCGTAATGAAACAGCTTATAAGAAGAAAGGTCATTGTCTGCTCCCTCTAAAGGATACACAAACGTGAAGTAGTTTGGTACCTAAATACTTTTTGAGCTAAAAGTCATTGCAGTTTTCAAACTTGAAGTGCAGCTATTTCTGAAATCTAATATCACCAATGGGAGAAATCAGGGTCAAGAAAAGCCCAGTGGAATTCACAGCAGACCCACCCTCACCTTCAGTTTTATTGTCTTTCTCCAAACACAGCTGCACTGCTTCCACTGCTCTGGGGCTGGTAAAAATGAGTCCCCCATAACTTTCAGGATGAGACAGCTATACACCAAACAACGACAAAGGCATTTTATATGACAGTTAAGTTCAACATTTCCCAGAATCCCAAATGCTTCACAAGAGTAGTAGGTAAACTAATTCCTTCCCCACATCCATCCATCTGTCCATCCATCCATCCACTCGACACTTACTGAGAGCTTACCATGTGCCTGGAACTATTCTAGGCCTTTGAGGATGCACAGGTGAATTCATTATTCATAGCATTACAGTCGACAGGGGAGAGACAGGCAAGTGCAGTGTAGGGTGGTGGGTGTAACTAGAGCCGAGAGGGGCAATGTGACTCAGCCTGGGCTTGGTGGGGTGCAGGCAGGAGGGCAGACTTGACCCACATCTGGAATAAAACTGGAATATTCAAGGGGCGATATCCATGCTGCACCCCTGATTTTCAAAGACAAAGATGGTGATAAAAACTACTGAACATTTATTCTGAACCAGGCACTCGGCTGTTTCATACATGTTCCTTCACTGAACCTGCAAAAGTCCCCTGTGAGATGGGTGGAACTGTTCTCATCTCACAGATTAAGACAGAGGCTTGGAGAGGCTGAGGAACTCGCCCAAGGTGAGTGGCAGAGCCAGGACTCACGCAGGGGCCTCTACAACTCCCAAGCCCCAGCTCTGACTCACTGCGTCACCCGGCTTTACAGAGAGTTCAGTTCTCACCATGAGGTCCAGAAATGATCTCAGTGATGAGCTCTTTGGTTCCCTTTTAAAGCTGCCTATGGAAGAGCATGCCAATTTGGGCCCCTCTTACACAGTTCCCTCAGCACGCAAACCCCGTGCATGGGAACACAATAGATGCCAAATCAATATTTGTCAAGTAAATTATTGAATGAATGATCACATATTCAGCTCAGACCGAAAGGAGAAAATGGAAAGGCCTTCCATGAAGAGTGACGGGCAGGGTTCTGATGTGCAGAGCACGAGGGGTGAACCTGGTGCTCACAGAGGCCATGGAGCCCGGTGAGCAGGGCTGGGCACCCAAACCCATGAAACCACCCTGGCTCTTGGCCCATGTGTCCAGAGGGGACTCCAAGGAGATGCCGCGAAGGCAGCTCTGCTCCAGTGACTGAGTGCACACCGACAGGGGTGGCCTGGGCTCTGAAATCTTTAATCTGCAACATTTGGAAGGCTTTATTGGGATTGTCTCCAGCAACATCTATCACTCCTACACGTGGCAGCAGAACTGAAGCTGTCAGAAGTCCTGGTCTTGAGTCCTAGTACTGCCTCTTATTTGCTGGAGGACTCAGCCGAGTAGCCCAGCCTGAGGCCTCAATTGCTCAAAGGGAAAAAATAACACCTGTGCAGCCATTCTGCAGCAGTTAGGGCAGGAGGTGGATTAAATGCGAGGATGACCATGAGAGGATGACCGTGCGAGGGTCTGAGCTGCTGAGAGCAGTGCAGGTTTGGTGCCCTCACCCCGCCCTGCTCTCCTGGGTCTCATCACAGACTCCACCTCCACGTCGGGGTGGCGCTCTGGAGGAGCTGGTAGAGGCTGAGGCAGAGTCCAACAGCAACCGTCTCCTGGAGCCAGGGAGGCTGTGCTACCCTTGGTTGTTTGGTAGTAAATGAGGGGTAGTAAAAAAGTCCTTCCAGCTTGAGTGGGCAAGAATTCTACAGAAACCAAATGTGTCTCTCTCAGAAGTTATGGTGCTCAGACATTGACAGACCTTACCTTCTCTGAGAAACTGGGAAGAGACAAAAACTCAAATGATAAAACAGGGATCAAAGTGGCTTCAAATCCATATAATCCTAATTCCTGCAAATAAAAGAATATAGTTCTGGATTGGCCAGGGTTGTCTGGAAAATAAAGGCGGGGTCACATTCACAACTTATTCTGCGCAATTCCTCAGTTTCAGCACATCCCCTTCCCCTCGACTTCATTAGTAGGGCAGCCCTATGCTGTACAGTGCAGGAGCCTCAGGTACTTACCCTGATGTACGGATCCTGGCCACAGTCGTCCTCCTTAGGGTCTTTCAGTAAAAGAACCTTCATTATTGCCTGGCAGTCCTTAAGGGCACTGTGACAGAGCAGGGAAACAGATCTTAATTAGGTCTCAAAGACTCCTCCTCAGCAATGTAGGATGGGACGAGAGGAGCAGGGAGAAGGTAATCAACTGCTGGCTGATGTGGCCTATCCCTTGCACACAATGACTTAACGTTAATGGGCTTGTTCCTTCTGAAGAACTTGTCACCGATAAGGCCAAGGGACAGCATGCTGGCACTTGATTATCACTTGGAAAGGCAGATGAAAGCCATCAGGGAAAGCCAGTGTCCTATCCAAACGTTTAAGGCTTGTAGAAGAGACACAGTGCAAATTCTGGGTTGTATCAATAACAAATAGAGAAATGGGTATCTTATCTTTTAAGGAAATAAAAAAATAATAACTTCCATTTCAAGATTAATACACCAAGTTGCTGATAAGCTCTTTAGGAAATAATTATATTGACTCTTCTGCTTCTCAAATGATGTTTTATAAATGTTGTCAAGTATCATGAGATAATCTTTCAAAAATTTTCTAACAACCTGGAAAACAATTTGTTGATATGTATCAGAAGTCTTATATACTTCATACCCTTTCTTCCTATAATTTCACGTCTGAGAATAAATACTAAGGCAATACTCATAAATGTGTGCAAAGATTAACATGAAGGTATTCATCCTGGTATTCGTTTTTTTTTTATTATTGAGATATAACTGACAAACAACATTGTGTGACTTTAAGGTATATACCATGTCAATTTGATACATTTATACATTGCAATATGATTACCACCGTAGTGTCAGATAACACCTCTATCACGTCACATAATTATCACTTCTTTTTTATGGTGAGAACAATTAACATCTAGTCTCTCTGGCAACTTTAAAGTTTATAATACAGTATCGTTGACTATAATCACAACATAGTCACTCCAGAACTTATTCACCTACTAGCTGCAAGTTTGTATTCTGGTATTTTTTATAATTGTAAATACTTGGAAACAATGTGAATGTCCAACAACAAGAAAATGATTAAATAAATCATGGTATAGTTATATGAAATTATTAAAATACTCATAAATAACTTAATTACATCGATTTAATCACAAAATAATGTTAAGTTAAAGGCAGGAATCAGAATTGCATAAATAGTATGATTTTATAGATTTTACATATGCATATATATGAAAGAATATGCACCAAAATACTAATAATAATTATTTCTGGGTGGTAGGTTAGGGTGACTATTTTCTTCTTTATGTCTTTCTGTATTGTCCAAAATTTTTTACAATAAACATTAAATTCCTTTTGTATCAAGGGTGGAAAAGCACATCATAACCATCCCAAAGGCCTCAAAATAAATGCTGCTGAAGAACTGCAGAATAAACTCTGCTTGAAATGCACATTATCATCCCATAAGTATCATTAAACCTACCAGTTAGTTACTTAATAAATATTATACAGTGGTTGATAACAGTCAAACAGAGTATCCTATTTGGAGCAGAAACGTGTTAACTCTGGGAGCCATTACTTACAAGTTACTACTGAATATATTTCTGGAACATTATAATATCTATGGTTCTTCTTAGGAAAATCTGGCTCAAAATGAATTGCTTTGTATCTAAGCAACCAAACCTGAGTGACAAATAATAATTGTGAAATCAAATTCTAGTTATTGCTACTGTCGAGCTGTTAGCTACAGAGATTGGGGATTTGGGGAAATGGGCAGTATCATTTCTATCATTTCCTGAAGTTATTCAGAATGTTTCACACAGAAATTAGGAATCTATCTTTCTGCAGTGGTCACTCTGTGTGTCAGCCTGGCTAGGCTATATAGTCCCCAGTTATTCACAAATGCTAATCTAGGTGTTGCTGTGAAGGTATGTGGAGATACGATAAAGTCCATCATCAGTTGGCTTTCAGTAAGACAGACTGCCCTAGATAATCTGGGTGGGCCTGATTTGGTCAGTGGGAATGCCTTAGGAGCAGAACTGAAGCTTCCCTGAGGAAGAAGAAATTCCGCCTGTGGACACAGCTTCGGCTTGTGGCCGAGTCCCACCTGCCCTTCCTGCTGGCCTGCACTGTGGATTTCAGACTTGCCTCACCAGCCACACCCACCGTTGCACAAGTCAATTCCTTGCAGTAGGTCTCCTAACACATATCCCCTACTGGTTCTGTTTCTCTACTTGAACTCTGACTGATACACCTTCCAATCTGGGGGCTCTAGGAATCTGGCATGTCACTGAATGGCAGGTAAAACTTGGCATTTTCTGCTAAAGCGTAAAACTTTGTAGGACATACAAAGCAAGCAACTCTTGCGGGCATTAAAAGGTGGAAGCTTATTGCTGTTGGAAGCAGGCAGTCCTGTGGCCACAGATCTCTCTTCAGCCCTACCATGTCCCCGCCATGGTTCTAGGCTCTGGAATACAGATACCCACGTTTTCATAGGATATGTAAGTACTGCCATCAAATACCAGGGGCCAATCTCTCACAAGATGTTTCGATATAGTTCTCAGGCAGTGAGCCTGGAATCTCCCTCAGGGAGATTAGGTCTGCATTATTTATTGGGGGGGAGGCGCACAAGTTCAAGCACTACTAAGTGCCATGAGGTGATGTGACAGAGGTGACTGGGTGCTGAGAGCCAGTTACCTCTCCAGAGGGGCCTCTCTGAGAAGATGGCATCTGAGTTGAAATCTGTGACAACAGCTGTAAGGAGAAATGAAGGAGGTGACATCTGAGTTGAGATCTGAGTGACAAGAGCCATAAGGAGAAATGTTCAAGTGTCAGAAAGGGGTCCAGCGTGTCCCCAGGAGAGAAGGTAGGCGTGGCTCAAGTGGAAAGGACAAGTAGGACTTTGGATTTCATGAGAAATGGGAATCCACCGAACGGTTAAGCCGGAAGAGACGCGATGGGCTTTACACTTTAGAAAGAGCTCCAGCTTCCGTGGGAAGGATGGCCACCAGAGGAGATTAGGCAGTGGTGGTGGCTGGAGCAGAGGAGGTTAAGAAGTGGCTGGATCAGGGATTCATACTGCAGACAGAGTCAACAGGACGTACTGATATAACTCTGGGTGAAAACATCTGTCCACAGTCTGGTTTGAAATGGTTGGGACCAGGATGAAAATAAGTGTCTTTCTTCTTTGAATCCCACCTAAACTTTAGGTTGATTCAGTGTAATCCTATCGGTAAGTTAACAAATATTTATAGACAGTTACTGTGTACTAGGCACTGGGTATACAATATGATTCATGCCCTCATATTCATGGGAGGGTAAAATAGATATTTTACAAATAAGTAGAAATAAGTCATAGTGTAATGGGCATTATGAAAGAAAATTCAAGATGCTGTGGAAACATAACTGGCAAGTCTTATTTGACCAGGATGTGTGGCAGAGATTGCCCGTTATCCCCGAATATCCACCCTTCCTTCTCCCTCATACAAACGGAACCCCTCATTATTAACTGGGCACACGGTTGCCCAAAATAAAAACGTGTAGCTAGATGTGGCCAGGTGACTAGGTTCTGGCCCACAGGATAGAAGTCGAAGTGATGTGCACACTTTCTGGAGCCTGTCCTTAGAAGGAAGTGCCCCTCGCCTTCCCCTTTCTGCCCTCCCTGCTGGCTGGAATGTGGATGGGGGGGCCTGCCCCTTTATACTGCAGGGGAGGGTGACACCCCGAGGGTGACAGAAGAACAAGATAGAAGGAGCAGGACCCCTGAAGAGCCACCAATCAGCCAGGGCTTTTACATCAAAGAAAAGAAAAGTTCTATCCTGTTTCAGCCATTGTTCATTTGGATCTGTCGGAACAGCTGAATCTATATCCAAACTAACACAAAGGTCAGAACAGCTGTCCTCGAGGAAGTGATGTTTAGACAAAGACCTGGGGCCTGAGTAGGAGGCATGCGTGAGGGACAGAGAGAAGTCTGGGGTGGCTGGAGGAGGAGGGGAGATGGGGAGATGGGGCCAGAACATGCTGGGCCTTGTAGGTCATATCAGGGATCTTTTTTTTTTGGGGGGGGGTGAGGAAGATTGACCCTGAGCTCACATCTGCTGCCAATCCTCCCCCTTTTTTTTTTTTGCTTGAGGAAGATGGTCCCCAAGCTAACATCGGTGCCAATCTTTCTCTAATTTGTCTGTGGGACACCTCCAGCATGGCTTGATGAGCGATGTGCAGGTCCGCGCCCAGGATCCGAACCCACGAACCCCAGGCCGCCAAAGCGGAGCACACGAACTTAACTATGGCACTGGGCCGGCCCCTCAGGGATCTTATTTTAATAGCAATAGGAAGCTTCCTGTTGATGGATTTATTTCTCCTCTCCTTTTCTCATCTCTGCTTGCCCTTTTCTCCTCCTTGTCATAGGATTTCAATCTAAAATGGAACTGGAAATGGAGAATCTCACACACGCACCCTCAGAATGGAACTTAAGAACCAAGAGACTGATTTCCCATAAATGCCTGATTTACAGAAGACTGAGACTTATCTCTTGACCAATGAACATCCACCAAGAATCTCTCGCCATTCTCAAGCCAATGAACTTACCGCTTGGACTCTGGCTGGATTTTCCCCTCTTTGCATTCTTTGCCCATAAATACAGCCAGCCCCACACCCTCAATGGACTCACCTACAGCTTGCTACAGCATGCGTTTCCCGAACTGCAATTCCTCTGCTATTCCCAAATAAACTCAATTTCTAGTCATTTGAGCTTGCTGCAGTTTACCTCCTTATTTAAGGTGCCATCCCTTCTCTCTACGGGGGTAATGTAAGGGGGCAAGTGTGGCGTCACAGAACAAGCACAGGACTAAGGGCCAAGGGTTGTGGGTCCTGGTCCCAGCTTTACTGCCCATGATGTGATCTTGGTCTCTCCCGCGTTAAATGAGAATGACCGCTGCTCTACCAAGCCACAGGGTTGCTGAGGGACTCACAGGAGATGACGATGACAGCTAACATAGTTACTGAGCACTTACAACATGCCAGAGACTGCTCTAAAAGCTTTACACGCATTAAATCTACAAGGTTATCCCATTTCACGGATGAGGAAACTGAGGCATATGGCATACAAAATTCACCCAGAGTCCCAGAACTGATAAGTGGCAGAGCTGGGATTCACACTCAGGCAGTCGGGCTCTGAAGTCTCTGCTCTTAACCCCTACACTATGCTGCCTCTCTACACTTTGCATACCAAAGTGCTTGGGAAAACAGAGAGGTACTAAGACATATAAAGTATCACTCTAGTAAAAAGTGCTTAGTTTAATAATGCAAACATGTCAAAGCAAAACCAATCTACCCACTGCAAACAGAATATATTTCTTCTGGGTTCTACTCTGTGGTTCTCTTAGGTGATAAAACTGAT